AAAAAAAGTACCAAAAATGGTACGTTTCGGCCAAATTGGCAACCGTGACCGTAAGCCAACGGAACGTACATATGTATTTCGGCAGCTTATGATTTTCGTGTATATTTATAACTGCCTAAATGTAGGCAACATATTTAGTAATGAGATCACTACTGAAATACAGTGCATTTCAAACTTGTAGCCTAAGTGGTATTCATAGGCGAGAGTTACAAAAACCAAGAAGAACGAGCGAAGGTCAAAGTTAATACAAACGACAATAATGCAATATTTGCTTTATTTCACTTTTAAATGGGAAATAATACCAAAATCTTAGTTTTTCTTTATTCCCAACAAAGGTTTTTCCTTATTTCTCATTGTTTATTTATACCATTTCTATCAAAAACAGTTTACTGACAGAAGGAAAAAGAAAATTGTTTATGCCAAAAATACAATTAAACAAAAAATGTGATATAATTCATATGAAGAAAGCAATATTCACAAAATATTTTTACATATGAAAAGTCTAACAAAATATAGGAAAAGAGTCGTCTTTAATATTTGCTCAGCAAATTGTACATAGCGCTTTTGCATGAATTTATCTGCATGCTTTTTTAAATGTGCTGAAAACATTGCCTTAAAATGTTTGCATGGAACCATGGCGCAAAAAAAGGTGAAATAATAAAACAGCTTTCTCAATTTATATTTTCTGTCATTCGGCGGCTTTATAGTAAAATTTTAAAGGCAATTTTTCAAAATCTTTTTCTCGCCTTAATTACTTCACCTGGTATAATTCCGCCATGGCATGGAACAAACCGCCGCTCCTGTTTTTTTCATTTCATTTGTTATTAGTAAAATAAGATCCCAAAGATCTTTTTTAGTATAACGGTAACTTAAAATTAAGATAAGAATAAGAGTTGAGAATAAAAAGTACGTAGTACATCATGTCAAACAAAGCCTGACAAATAGCATAAGGCAAAGGTTTACAAATCTATATGAAACCAAAAGACGAATGAAAAAATATATAATAAAACAAATATAAATAAAACAAGAAATAAAATAAATAAATAAATAAAAATTAAACGAGAAAAAGAACATAAAAACACATAAACATAAGTAGGTATATAAATAGCGAACCTCAGCTGATAATAAGTTAACTGTTCGCAGCATATAACACAGAGAATATTGTTTTCAGTTTTATCTTCAGTTCAAATTTATGCATTATCATCAGTGGTTTCCCCATATCCGAAATGTGGATTTCGTTTACGAAGACGGAGCGAACATGCGGTACGAAATAGTGATGTAAAAATATGTAAAATTATTGTAATATGGGTATCAATCGAAATGTTTTTGAAAAGGCTTTATTTCAAAACTATTTTTAGGAGCATTTCCACTCATTTGAACAAATCAAAAATTAACTTTGTTCATCATTTAATTGAAATACTTATGTACGCCAATGTCAAATGAAAGTGATTTAAGAAGACTTTAAATTGGAAATACGTTTGAAAGGATTGCCACCGGTTTGAAAGGTCGAATATGGTTGACTTAAACACAAGATATGTATATGATATATTTAAATATGAGAGTCAAACTAAATACTTAGTTTTATGAAATCTTTAGTTTAAAAATACTTTTGATTAGGCTTGCCTCCTAATTGGCTAGTGATATCCAGATATCCTTCGAATTTCAAAAGTGAGATGTCAAATTTAAAAGACTAGCCTGTAGATGTAGAATAACATTTTATTTTTTTGAAGTTAGAACTTTTTTATTCATACAGAGTGATTTAAAATTAGATAAACCGAACCATGCGGGACTTGTCTCCACTCAGCAACGCCTCGACAGGTTTAGATGAAACTTATAATTTGAATATTAGAATATTTTCGTGGTATTGCAGGGGGTTGCCACCGGTTTAAAAAGTTAAATTCAAACTATTTTATACATTTAATCAATTATTACAATACCGGTATCAATCGAAATATTTTTGAAAAGGCTTCGCGATATGTATTCCAAGTAGAGATGGGCGCGGGAGGTCGGGACCCGCGATACCCATGGTATTAATTTCAAAATAGCCGGGGTTAGCGGTATCGGGAAGTCTTCAAAAATTAGTGGGCGGGACGGGGCGTACATTCTTTCCCGACACCCCGATTAAATAAATCCACGACTTCCGAAAAGATAAGAGAATAACTAGCAGATCAGATGCAGATCTTTCAGTACGACGAAGATGCGTAGGATATTCGAGAAAAGTATATATGTATCTATTAGAGTGGTTCATAAAATCACTCTTTTTGGAAATTCATAAACGCTACATCCGAATATTGGTATTTGTGACAAAAAAAGAGACACGTATTTTTTTATTTTGAAAAAAAGTTTTCTTAGAGGTCGCGCTGGTCGGTTTTTTATAAAAACGCTGATGTTCTCAATTTTTTTATTTTCTTGACATGTTAAAATGCAGCTAAAAATGTGGTTTTTACATATAATTACTCTGGTATTATTGGGGAACCTTCCCTTAATTACACACCTGTCTTGGACAATTAGAATGGGTCTAGTTCCCGAAAATATGCTCTCGAAAAGACACTAGTAAAATTAAAACGTTGATACTGAACGATTTACGCATTGTCATGGGTTGGAACTTGTTACCAGGGGGTTTCTGGGGTTGCTAATTAGGAATCTGAAGTCAGTTTTTCGAAATTCGAAATGGCGGATCCAAAATGGCGGTAAATTTTTTTTTTAAATGATTGGATTTGTTCGAAACCCGGCACTCGAGAATTTTTGTGGTCGCCGATTACGAATGTGAAGTCAATTTTTTTTAATTCAAAATGGCGGATCCAATATGGCGATCAAATTAAAAAAATGTACTAAAATTAAAACGTTGATACTGAACGTTTTAAAAATTGTCAAGGGTTAAACACGTTTCCAGTGGGTTTCTGGGTTTGCTGATTACGAATCTAATGTCAGATTTTTCTAAATTCAAAATACGAACAATGTAACTACGAAGAATATATATATTGTAGATCTGCAATTAAATATAAGGAGATAAAATGTATTATATATAGGTATATGTTTTTATGCATGTATGTATGTATACACTATTTAAAATTAATTTGAAATCCAGGTTTATCTTACTTAGTGATAGATAACGGGACTCACGGGAACCGCGGTACAAATAAAAAAAAAATCGTGGGAATGGGCGGGTGTAAGATCTAAAAATTTATTGCCGATATGGGCGGGACCGGGATTGAATATTTAGTCCCGTGCCCTTCTCTACTCCCAATGTCATACGAAAGAGATTTACCATTATTTTAAATTCAAAATACTTTTGAGGAGGGTGTCCTCCTGATAAATTTATTTTGGGGTTTTAACGCGTTCATTACACTCCAAAAAATCTGTTTACAAGTGCGACTATAAATCGAGTATATTTTTGTTTATTTTAATAATTTTTTGGTAAATTTACACGATGAATATTTATTTTTCCCGTTTACACATTTTCGTATGTAAAAATCCTTTTGTTTTAGCGGCTTTACACAATTCTTCGGGTGAAATCAAACAGCAAATTTTTTTTTATTTTGTAGCTCGCACACACTTTCGTAGTAAATCTACGCATAGCACAACAGCTATATTACACTCTAAAAAGTCCAAAATTTAAACAAACTATTCGTTGAATAATCGACCATGTAATTTTGCGAATAATAAGGTAGGAAATCCGTAACCTACCTTTTAGCTAGGAAATTTACACGATTTTTTTTAGAGTGTACATATTTTTTCCATATAAAAAAACATTCACTCATACCTTGTATGGAGAAAAATGCATAGAGCCGTCTGCAAAAAAATTATTAAAAATCAACGCGAGTAAAAAGTTTATAATTTT